AATTAGCAGTTTTAATTACCAAGAGATTTATTCGTTCGTAAAATTAAGGCCGGATTTACATACGCTTAATTTACATACATCGAGATGTAAACGAAAATCTATTTTGGACGCGAACGAATCTGTGCGTTCCGCGAGTTAATTCGACGTTGCTCGTCTGGCACGCAAGCTTCCGGGGTGTTGCCGAAGGATATCGCCTTCCATCCCGGCACTTTTTTATCTTTCTTGTACACGCGACACCTACGAGAGAACGAGCTTCCGGGCGAAAGCGTGACCGTATTTCCGCATCGAGAAGACCCGCCAAAGCCGCAGATAAGCACGTGAGATGTGATATCAGCTGAAAATAGACGGCGAGCTAACGTGTCTTTCATGTTAACGTGTCTTTCTGGTCTGAAAGTAGCAATAGAACGGGAGTGAAAAATCCTTCGACACTTCTCAATGTTTAATTTATGGCATGCAAGGCACATTTCTTCACGCTATATAAATTATAACTTTGCGAGTAGTCGATATTAACTTCACAAAGTAGCAACATCATCGACCTTTACAGAGGCCATCGTCGGGCTGGAAACAATAAAACATCGATTTGTATCTGTTGACTAGTGTAAAAGTGGCCGCGGTCGGCTCGTAAAATCTCGTTTCCTCGGCGTATTGTACGGCTAATTGCTAGAAAATTAGCAACGGGATGCCGTTTGCAGGAAATCAAAGCCGGCAAAAAGCTGCGCTTGCCTGAAAGCCAGCAATGAGACTGCCAGAAAGCGCTCGCGACGACGAATCGCTCGCGTATATTGGCCACGCATTGTTGTGCGGCTATTCGCATCGCGGAAGTCGCGAGCAGAACGGAATAGCTATAAATCAATCCCTTAAGGCCGCTAATGCGAATACCACGATTTTAATGACCAAAACGAACCGCTTGTTAGATTCCTCTCGTTGCACGATTGCGTGCTGCGCTCGGAGCGGTGCAGCAAGAAGAGCCGCGTCTCCGCGCTCGGGCGATCAAGCGGATCGATGTTACGACGAATCAATAGCGCATTATCGATCGCTCTCAGATCCTTTAGCAGCCGTGATCGTCTAGCGGTTAGGACCCTACGTTGTGGCCGTAGTAACCCAGGTTCGAATCCTGGTCACGGCAGTCTTTGAAATGTGCTTCGCGAAAAGGATCTCATTTTATTTTTTATTTATTTTTCTATATTTTTTTATAAGAGAAGAATTAAAAGACAGACGTTCTCTTAATGAATGATTATTTTCCAGTAGCTTAGATCAAGTATTTGTATTCCAGTAATTATCCAAGCTATGCATCAATTTGCTATATAATTTATTGTTTGTTGTCTATCGGTTATCCTCGTACATAGAAAATTCCTGATGTTTTAAGCAAGGGCGTCTGCAGGATTTTTTCTAGGGGTGGACATGATCCAAAATATTATTTTTCGAATTAGCATACAATATATATAATTTTAAATTAATACACCTTTTAGTTGTAAAAAACTTTCTCACCGCGACAAGGTAGGTGTAAGTCGAGAAAGACATTTGTATTTTTTTTTACTTTTTTATATTTTTTATATTTTTTTTTTGCTTAAATATGCAATTTGGACGACGTCTTTGATCAATACAACAAAAAACGGGAGAGTAAATGGATTTAATAAAAACGGGAGAGTAAATGCTGAATTTTTTTTCTCTGATTCCAGGGGAGGGCAAATGCCCCCTCTTGCCTCCCCCTGTGGACGCCCATGGTTTTAAGATGATACGCTAATCTATATAAGATTCTGTATCTATTCTTCTACGCTACGCTATATTTGGGTAAAGCGCCGTATTATTATAGATATTCATCTAACGTGTAAATTATATGAGCCTAATATTTACTTTCTACGGGACAAATAGATCTTTCTTTGAAGTTTTCTTCGAAATTTATCGGGAATTGTACTAATATTATTACCTTATTTGGTTTTGTTTTTTTAATATTGGAAACAAATTGAACGCTTTATACCACAGATAACTTGCCTTGTTGACGGTTAGTTCGGGCTGTGATCTCGATAACATAATATGTTGTGTCGTATATTATGTCAAGATCAAAGTTATTGGAATTTTATTTCCTATAATTGCCGTATTTTTTATCAATATTTATCAGTGCATTATAATGAACCCCTGTGTGTTAAAAATTATCTAAGTTAATTAACAGAGTGATGAAAATTTGCATACCAATTTATTATTTTATATTAATATAATAATATATTAAGCGAAATATTCAAGTTTTTTATTGTTCTTTTTTACATGTGCGCTATTTGTCAAATTTATTGTTCAGTCTACAATGAAATAAATTTCTTCCAAATCGCACAACACGATGTCCGTCATCATGCCGCGAAAAAAGAAGCTCGACCGAGCTTTATGGGTGTCAGCTCCTTCACGTACGCACGCATATAATACGGGCATTAAGGTGTGTTTCTTGGCAGAATTCCATCGTGTTCGTTCACGCGGCTAACATACGTTATTATCTCGTAGAATTCGATTTTCAGTCTCGCTGCGCTACTCTCGGCCAAGATATTCTTATCTTCTTCACACCTTGCCGCGATAGCGTAGGATTTTAAACCGGTCTTCGATACGTGTATTTATAAAGTTTATTTTTGAGTTGTTTATATATATATATATTATTTGAGTCACGTACATGAGATAAAAAGTTATTTGAAAGACTTATTTTGTTGTCTAATCTATATCTATAAAGATATTTATTACGGTATAATATTTAAATTTTATGTTCAAATATTGTTTTCATGTAATAGTCTCTACGTTGATATAAAATATCTTATCAAAACTATATTACTATATTTTAT